ACGGAAACAAAGCAAGACGACTAGCTAGCCAACAGAGGAGTTAAGCCGCCAGAGGCCGTACATTGACAAGCCCAATCCAACGGAAGGGAGCCTCTAACTTGCATGAAAGTTCTGCTCTAAATCCTCTTTCAAAAAAAAAAACCCCCACTTGAGGTTTAAGCTTCTCTTTGAAATTTTTCCTTAATTTGTAACTCGACTTCCCCACCTTGCACCATGATTTACAAGTTCCACCTTGCACTCAAATCGTGTTCCACGTTAGCTAAGATGTTCTCAAAATAACAAGAGCTTCGAAAACCCATCAAAAAAAAATATATATTTATCCCGTTTTTCTCCCGATCGATAGATGGAAGTAACCTCTTTTTTTCTCGTGTAATTTGGTCCTTCACGAAATAAGAAAGCTCCTCACATGAAACTCGCGGAAGAAAGCACCGAGAATAAGCACTCGTATGCAAATTATATTTATTAAATGATATAGCAGATTTTTATCGAGTGCTTAAATGCGTCTATTAATTTAAATGACCACTTATTTTTTGTCCCATCATTTAGTAAATCCATATAGCATATTGAATTTAAGTATTTCCTCGGATTCGTCGAAGAGCAAGTTCAAAGGAAAACTAAGATGCTAAACAAAAACCAAGCGGTCAATCTGAGGACGAAGACAAGCAAACGAGGAGGCAAAGTCCAATATTCTATTGGTTGTGCCGTAATCGAAGGATCTCGATTTCGACGAACCTCTGAATATTCATAAAATAATAAAAAATTAGTGACCATTGACTTGACGCACATAAAAATTCCCCCAGCTCCAGACACGAGACTATGAGAAAGAAAAGAAAAAGCAGATGAGCACAAAAGAATGACTTCGAAAGTTAATCGAAAAGTCAAAAGGACAGATAAAGCCGGGCCAGCGTGCACTGGATAATCTTTTATAAGGACGGTCTGAATTCCACTTCAATTATTGTTTAATGAATTTGAATTTCGACGAAAGTGAGAGCAAGACCGAAATGGAAATTGCATAAATAGTTACGTACAAGCACGAGTAATCTCGATCATGAGATAATAGTGAATCTCATATGATACTCATTTGATCTAATAATTGATATATCCTGAAGTTATATATATCGTAGCTTGAAATGCGTAAACTAGGTAAAATATATGTGCACATAATACCAAAGCATAAGAATCATTAGATCAGATACATATTTCGTAATCTAATGGCTTGGATCTTCTAGCATGTATGGATTGAGTTCAAATTTTAATCTTATGGTTAATATTAATTTTTTGGCCTATGCATTTTGACTATTGAACGTGAAACACTTGAGACTTTTACGACATGACTGACAAATACTGTTGCATATAGTATTTTCAGAGTATTTTAGAAATATGAAGAGTTCTTTATAATTTCGATGGAAAAGCCAAAAATATACATTTCATTCCTTGCTTAATCTTTAAACAAAGCCGAATTAGTTTTCACCTGTTTTATTTTTTTTTGTTTAATTTAAATTTTGCAGACCACACACACTTTGACTTTTTTTAAATCTGAAACTCCTTAAATAATACATAGATTCACAGGCAAATTTTCATAGCTTCTTTTACGATTTTAATGAGGTTCGTAAATAAACACGCCCTCAAATGCATTTGGACCATGGAACAGCAACTATATAAGGCAGTCATTTTTTGGCCAAAAAGTAAATGTCGTGATCACATGGCGTAGCAATACCAGCATGATCCCAGTTTACACGAACTCACTTGATCTCTATCGTTGAATCATATGAGACCTACGTGGGATCCATGTGTTAAGTGGCTCGGATCAATTGGTGCCTGTGTCTAATAATTTTTTCAGTCATGTGGGGCCTAAGCCTACCAGATCATGTGCCGTGATGCAGTTTACCTACTTCCATGCTAAACTGATGGTACAAAAACGAAGAGCCAAGACCAAAGACACAGAAAAACTCTCCTGCAGCAATCATATCTCGGTTGCCATTTCATCCACAGCTCGCAAGCAGTCTGCGAAAGTTTTCTTGGGTCTCCTCCAAGTCGCGAGAAATGAACGAACCCCCCAAGTATGCTTATCCTTACCCTGCTCAAGGCCAAGGTACTCTCTCTCTCTCTCTCTCTCTCTCTCTCTCTCTCTCTCTCTCTCTCTCTCTCTCTCCACCGTGTTCATGTCTGATCTGGTATGGTGGGGGTTGGTTTTGCAGGGTATTATCAAGGGCCTCCTGTACAAGCACCTCCACAGTACTACGCTGCCGCTCCTCCCAGGAGAGAGACGGGTTTTCTTGAAGGATGGTACTCTCTCTCTCTCTTCTCTCTCTCTTTCCATTTTGTTCTTGGCCAGAAAGGTTTTCATGTTCATATGGTTGATGGAAATTAATTGGTGATGTGTTGTTGGTTGGTTGCAGCCTTGCGGCTCTGTGTTGCTGCTGCCTCATCGACGAGTGTTGCTGCGATCCGTCCATCTTCTTCGTGTGTTAGCGGTTGTGTTGTGTGTGATTCAAAAACAAAAACCACCAAAAATATTAAGAAAATGGAGTCCACCCACTTCCAGATTGTTATTGCACGACTCTGTATTTGACTTCTCGGTGTTTGTCCTGTGTTCTCTAGATGGTTCTACATGATGGGCAGCTTTGTATTTGACTTTTCCCCGTGTGGTCTGTAATCTATAAATTATTGTAGCATGACTCTTTTCGATGAGCTCTGTACATTCTTAATTTGTTCTCTTATACCATTAGGAGTGATTATAAAGCAGAGGCAACGTTTGCTTTTTTTCCTTGAAAAGATCCAACGCAAGTTGAGTAGTCACATGAACCACCAAATTCGGTCGCAGTCGACTTCGGTGACAGTTGGGACTCGGATAGAACCCGTGTAACAAGCAATTCGATTGTGAAGTACCATGTCACATGCTTGCTCGACTTAAATCATTTTACAGTTTTGACACTGGTAACATTAGACACTTTCACCATTGCACGAGTTCAAAAGCGAACTGCGTTCGAGTGAAGCGAAATGAGACCAAACAATATTCGCCCAAACGTGTTTTACCAATTTGACTTCATTTCTTGGCGAAGTTACTACGATCATCTAGCTTCAATTGGTGCAACTGCAGGGAATGATATCCTGTGTAGTCTGTAAAATGCAGGATGCAATTTCAAAATCAAAGATGTTGCTTATTTAAGAGACCGAAATGACATGCAGTATTCATGTAACAACTGAAAATGATGCCTCATCTTGAAAATTAATCTCTTGGGTCCTTTCAGCAGATAGCGGAACAAAGCAAATCTGGCCCGATTACCTTACCTTCGAGATGACGGGATTCAGTGCCCGCTGCTGTAAATTTTCTTCATTTCTGAAAACAAAACCTGCAGATCATCAATTTGCAGGGATCGAAGACATAACCTGTGAAATGCCCAGAAAACTTACTGAAGTCAAAGCCAGAGGCATAGTCAATGTAAAAAGGCCTCATGCCACTGTTACGATTATCTGACATCAAAATCAAACATCCAACGCGCCATATACTATTCGAAAACAAACGTTGAGTGTGAAAACTTTCAAAAGAGTGCTCAACCCATGATTTCTAAAGATCCAGTCCCAATCAGTTGGTTCCACGCTATACTAAAGGCCAGCTTTTAGTTCTACCATTCCTACAAAAGATAAGAAAACGAGTAAAAGGTGAAGCTCAACAAACAACTTTACATGGCCCGCGAAAGGTCTATGTTATGGAAAGTGGCAGACATCCTTTCCAAGATGGGGCATGCTGTGCATCGCCAATAAGCTCATAATCAAGTATATAGATAGTCTCATTCAAATGGCTAACAAGTCTCATTTTTTTGAATCTTACGCCTGAAAATAGTTGAGATTTTGTCAAGATCCACAATCTGATGCTTATAATTAGAATCTTCCACCGTGGTTGCCATCGACCTTCTCATAAGGTTCCGGGGAAGTGATGATGTTACAGATTTAGTTCACATTTTTAGGCGGCAAGTAAAGAAGAGTACTGATAGATTGACTCATTACAGGTTTTTAAATAAGAATTTATAGAAAAGATCTGATGCATCCCATCTACACATCAAGAATCGGCATATAACTAGCTAATGATCATTTCTCTAATGACCTTTCTCTTGCACATGTTTCAATTCAAAACTTTTGCCTCTAGATCCGGAAAAGGAATATATTCACTATTGCAATTCCACAAGGTTACATCAAATTTACCATCACACAAGTCACATCACTCAAAATTCCAATGCAACTTTGACTCCCACAAAACTTGTTCTGCAAATCCAAGAGAACCAGCAAAACACTGCTGAAGGGCCATAAAATACAGCAAACACAATTACAAACGCCTGCTGCTAGCAATTGCATCCAATTTCACTCCCATGTCTATTCTACTATTGCAGATCCCTCAAAAGTCCCCCAAAAAACCCCAATACTAATAATATGAAGCCGAGTATTCTCAAGTAACTGGCTATGCATCCCCATAACCATCGACTCTGGCATCTTGGAAAGGAAACATGCTAGAACCAAATGGGGCATTGAGCGGAACAAAGTGGAAGCAACATAGGAAAGGAACAAGCATATGCATTCTAATATATGATTTCGGGCACACAGCAGCTCTTGATTAATCAGAAGAAATCACATAACACTGTAACAAATTCTCTCCAAATAACAAGGTCCTAGAGATTCGAACTCCAGACCTCCTTTGCCATTTGCTAACCTTGCCACTCGGCCAGCAGCCAAAAGCCACACAAAAAGTAATTGAGAGCTTTTTCGCTAAAGTTAACGGAATAGATCACTGGAAGAGCATTCATGTTGAGACAAACAATGCAACCTAGTAGGTTGATTTAAAGAACTAAATTTTCGCGGGATAATTCAAGTTAAGCTTTGATAGACGCATGAACAGTTTGATAACCATATGCAAATGCTTCTATTAGATAAAAATTTAAATGAGTAAAGGAATAGAAAATCTTGCAGGCAGATTTCACGCGCGTTTGGCTTGTGCCAAGCCTACGTCCACTCTCCCAGACTAATAACCACCAACAAGGCTAGAATCCACTAGTAATCTCAAGAGATTTTACAACATAGCAAGTGTTGTTTCTACCCTAAGCTGATAGATCCCACTATCAATAAACAAGCACTGCTATTACACTTGTATACTTCTCAAATGCAGATTACAATTAACAAGAGATACTAATAGACAAAATCACAAATGAGCAGGATCACGTTGCAATAATCAAAGAGCATGTGACAAGATTAGAGGTATAGCTTTCTCAGTTTGCCGCCCACTCCTTCAGTTTGATTTGAGCTTCTTATATAGTCCTTTAATTAGCCGTTGGAGAATCTTTAAGAAGATGAAATAGCCGTTGGAGTCGATAGACACAATAGCTGAAAATCTGGCCACCCATACAGTTAGACTTTCCTGGAAAGAGTGAGGTTTTTCTAAATAGAGTTAGCTGCCTTTGTCAATTGTCTATTCCTCTGGTTGCTTGAGCAAAATAGGCAAGAACTTATTTGATTCGATCTCAGATCTTCTGTCGTGAATTCCAGTCCTTGACATTAGCCACAAATCTTTTGTTTGATTTCCAATCAAATCAAATGATGTCAACGTCTTCCTATCCAGCTAATAGAAAACGCGATAAGTATCTCCTATACAGTTGATACAGAGAGTTGCCCTTATTAATAATCCAATGAGTTTATCCAAATTGTCCATCGGAAACTGACTTGTGATTTGCTATCTATTGGTCCTCCAAAGCACATTCGGGATCAAGACTTCACCTAGCTGTTCACCTTATCATGGTCTCTCCAAGTCCTCGTGAACACTTCGTTCTACCAGACTTCTTCACCCTCTATTAAAGTTCAACCAGCTTGTAGGTGTCTTTCCACTGTATTGCTCCTTAGAAGAGTGTAGTCCCTGGCAAGAATTGTATCGCTCCTAAGAAGTCAGTTCCATTAGATAAACCAATAAGCTGTAGCATCATTGACTAGATTTCTGTTCTTCCATTTATTAAATCAGAAGAGCTGGAACAAGACAAACGAATCACCCTTAATCAGTCAAAAAACAACAAAAAGGAAACTCTTTTGTATTGTCGTAGTAAATAATGCAAACAGATACATAAAATTTCAATTAAAAAGAAGAATCAAACATAAAAATTAGCTCAGAGTGATCTCTTCATAATAGAGCCACATTGCTCTTAGATAGTCACCCATAGAAGTGACAGTGACACTATAATGAATCCCCATCCCAAAAGTGAGATGACTTGGACCAGAACATCTAAATGGGTTAACGTAAAAAGACTAAACTTAGTCTACTAGCCACAAAGCAAAAGAACAGAATAATGCTTTCCCCATTGCCATAACGAGCAATCTATAATAGACAGACGATACATAATCAAAACGAACTAATTTAACCAATCCATAGAAGGAGAACTTCCTTAAGAATGACCGAAATGTGAACCTAGAACTGCAAAAGCAACGGAGATGATTGTTAGACCTAGGCCTAAGTCACCCGAGATATGGTCCGTTTGACTCATCCTATAATGAGCCCCATGCTCGTGTCCTATGGGTGTAAGTGTAACCTAAGTAAGCATTTTCTAAAAGGTCATCCATACTGATAGTGTTCTCGCCTGAGGACTAGAGCCCTCTGCACCATATCCTACAAGCTTGCTACCAGGAGCCGTAACTTGTCCAAGCCTTCTAGTCCCGGCGGTCAGTCCCCACCCTCATCAAATCGGGTAATTACGATTTCACCAGAAAGAGACGATACTAAGCAACCTATACTTCCTAATGGCAAGGATGAGAATGAAAGAATTAATCCAAAACCACAACCAGCATCTGTGCCCAAACAGCTGAATGTGAGCTAAAACATTACATTACCTTGCTTGTGATCACTAGTCGTCCATCGCCAGTAATCAAGTAAAGGGTTTGCAAAATTGAACAAGAGATGCAGTGGCAAAAGATGCATGTCAAGTAGCAACATGTCGAAAGAAATTGAAAGATTAACGTGTCTTGACTTTCATATTTTCAAAGAAGCAAAACCATTACATTGGCACTGAGTGATTTTTAAACAAGTTAGACCTCACTACTGCCCTCCAGTGACATATCTTATTAACATGTGCAACAATTATAAGATAATTTCTTTCAAGTATGGAGACCTAACATCAGATCCAAGCAACGATCAAGTGTGTGATTCTCAGGTCCACAACCGGTGTATTTACAAGGTGAGCTTCTGATACTATATACTCCATCACAAGAGTTTTCAAGACATCAAGAAAATTTCTGCTATATCTAAAGATACCCTAGATCAATTATGTGATCAAATTTTTCGGCTACAAGCAGTGTTTAAAAAGGAAACAGATCAAAAGAACCTGCCTGATGTCTGCTTCCCATTCAAATGAGGTCAGAAGTTTCAAGTTCCAAACAGTAGCATTACCGAAGACAATAAAGATCAAATTAATTTGTAGAAGTAGAAAGTAAAGTTCATGATTTGATTTTTTTTCAAACAAATAGAAGGTGATATGCACTTACCTAACTTATAGTTGGGTACTCAAGGAACTTATTATGATTTACTACTCTATCATTATATACAAGTAACGATGTTGAACAAAACAATTAATGTGTAGAGTCTCTTTATATTTGTATCCAAATTTTGAAAGTAAAGAACGACTTCAGAATCGGCCCAATCAAGTCAAAGTGAATTGGCCACTTCATGACTGACTTAGTACCTCTTCTGCTCCTACAGGTCAACCAGATCGGACATAGAAAGAGTTCTCAGTTAGTCAATCTAGACCGAGTTTTAAAACGCTAGTAGAGAGCAAAATTAAATCTGTCATCAATAACAGTTTGATTAATCCCATGAAGCGATTATATGAGGTATTGCAAAAGCCTTAGAAACCATGTTACACAATTTTCCCGACACATACATAATCATTAACATTAAAATTAGAAGGAATATAACATAATGTAAGGAAAAATTAAGAAATAGTAATGGTGTGTCCCTGTGTAGGATTCAGCTAAACTTAAATGTAGTCAAAACCCATATTGTTCAACAACTAAAACAGTGGAAAACCTACTTACTGCCAACCAAGATGGAGATAAATACTAAATTCTATACTTCCCTGCAGAAAACTTTAGTATTTCATCCTTCACCCAGACTCTAATCATTCCATTCAAACAGGAGAAAGGATGTGAAGATTACTACTGTCTGAATTGGCTTTTACTTTTTGCTTTTTGCTTAATCTAAATCTTGTGGCTCATTCACTTTGAGTACTTTTCATCTGAATTCCTGAAACTTTCACAACACTCGAGTGTTGACGCTTAGATCTCATATAGTTTTTTCATAATTTTCTGAAATTTTGAATAGTATTTTAGATTTTGGCAGAATGGAAAAAGGTATGTTTAAATTCCAACAAACATGCCCTATATTTCACATTACTAAAATATTTAAACTCGCTATTTAATTGTAGCAAAGATTATCACCATGAGAAGCTTCAAACTAGAAATTTTCAAATCTTATAGATCTCTAGACAATGATAAAACTTATTGCCATCTAAATCATGAAGAAAATAAGTCCAAAGAAATCTCTTGTGTACAAAATCTTGTAAGCATTCTACAATAATTATCGCTTTAGATGTTTCTTTTGATTAGTAAGAAGGTATATCAGAGAACTTCAACGGGGTGCCTCCCATTTAAAAAACTAATCATAAAGATCTAAGCAGCTCAAAAACACTGACCAGCTAAAGGGCACCTCCACAAATACAGAAAAAGTAATGTGGTAAGCCATCTATCCAAAGAAAATGGAAGCAGGGTTTACAAATGGAAGAGCTTCTCCAATGTTTAGGACAATTCAACCCTCATCAAGCTAAGTTCCTCTCTGACAGACCCCACCACAGCCCGAGCAAGAAAAATGCATTCCAAGATCGTCAAACCCTGCGCAATGAAAAAGGAGATGAGAAAACAGATTCTTCGATCTGCTTACAAAGAAAACACCTATTGGCTAACACCACCCTTTTTCTCTTCAAATCTTTTTGTAGTCAGAATTCTCTCCAAACACTCTCCAAGGACAAAAAGCTTGCTCTCACCATTGCTTAAGCATTCGAGGAAATCTTCCGAGGAGAAGGGAGTTCCCAACTTCTGTTGTGTTCTAGAAGTTTAATAAGCTGATTTGACAGTGACGAAATCATCGTCGCAGGCTACAGTGAAACCATAACACAGTATCCTCTTCACATCAATACCCTGAAAAGCATAAAGAGTGCCAAAGATTATTAAGTAGTTCAATTTCCCAATGATGAGCATTTCCATAGATCTTGATGGTGCCACACCATCCCTCCGTTTTCCCTTCACGAAATGAGGCCATTAAAGAATGATCTCCAAAACATTTGACAGATTGCTACCATATTACTTTCTAGATACAGTAGCTCCTAGCCATCTTTTGGATCAAATTAGATCATTCTAGTAAACAGAAGATTGGTAAAAATAAATCCAATAATCCAAGATCAGTTGCCTAAGTTTTCCTATGCAAGCAATTATCTCCCGAGTTGCAACACCATGTTGCTGTTACATTGGGAAAAAAGTCCTTGATTGCGACTTAGCAATAAAAATTGTTGGAGTATTTAAGTATTACACCAGGCCTTCATCTAACAATTTAAGCTTTTAGAATAGTTGACAATGGTCTCACACAATTTTATATAGTATTAGAGTAGGAGGTCTTGAGTTCAAGTTTTTCGAGGTTCTCTTTGTTGCCTCTCCAGTTATATTTTGCGCTTTAGTTTTAGGCCAAAGCCCAACCTATGCGTGAGGGGGAGTGCTGAAGTATATAAAATTTAAACCACGCCTTTATTTAATAGCTTAAACTTTTAGCACAGATGATAGTGGTCCCACACAATTTCACTAGCATGATTGAAGCTTCGTTAACAGTATTATGACCAGTCAACAAAGCTGAATGGTAATATATATCTCATTTGAAGATTGATGAATCACCAGTCAGAATCAATTGAATTCTTAGGTAAAATCCAGGAAATTACACAAAAACAATCAACAAAAGATAAGTATCTTAAAATCTGATAAACCATCCCCTAGTATTTCCCTTGGGGTAATGGAAATTGTGAAACCTGTTTTTATAGATTTACTTAGATTTTGCAACCTCACAACTGCACTTATACTCATTCAGGACCCAACCTACAGATTGGACTTCTTGAGCAGCAATTGTATCACAGAACGCAAGATAAATTCAACTTAAACAGACCGATGAAAGGAAGTGAACATGGGAGGCAACAACTTTCAAGGCTGATAGGTAATGTGAACCTTCCTAATCTTCAATAAGAAAGGATATCTGGGAAAGAGAAAAAAGTTTGAATCAACTCAGTCGAGATTTAGAATCAGATCGAGTGTAAATTGATTTAAATGCTCGAAATTTTTCACTCGCATACTGTTATGTTTCTTCAAAGCAGCAGCCTATATTTTCTTTCCACTATCATCAATTTTGCACCTCAATATAATACCACTGGAATACTCTGAATATCTTGCACATATACTAATCATGATTCACGGTTAACATAAAAGTTAGAACTCAATGCTTTATCATTAGGCTCTAAATCAGACTATAACCAAATGGCACATGACATTAGCTTTTGAATTCAAGACAAATAACTATTATTCTGATTTACATACCAATTAAACTCTCAGAAGGACATAATCAAATGCTTTTAATCACCAGTAATCCTCACAAGAGCATTGCCCTTCCTTGAAGCAATGAAACCTGCGGGTGTCCCTAACAGTGATTTCCCTTTTTGTAATTTTAGAGATATGTTTGATTGCATTATGGCAATCCCCACATATCCTAAGATTTTTCACCACGAGTATTGGCTCCCCATCCTTGGTTGAAATCAACCCAAATGCAACTGCTAGCTTCTCACTGTGATGTCTTAATCTCATTTCCATCTCTTTTTCCTCCTTTCCATCCTCCTTTAATGAAAACCGATTAACATCCGGTACATAACCAACCTTTCTAATCTTCAATAGCATCTCATCCAAGTAATCATATATCACCTTAATCATTGGATGTGAACTGTCTTCTGCAACAAATACATGGGTTCTTCGATTTAGCTCGATCCAGCTGCAACCTGGTTTCTTTTTAACACCTCTGTCTCGCATTAGCCTTCTTACTGCTACCATATCTTCCAATCTGCCAGCACTAGCATACATATTTGAGAGGACAACATATGGAGCAGCATTTGCAGGTTCATGCAGTAAAAACTGATAGGCTGCTTTAACAGCTATCTCCATGTTTCCATGCTTCCTACATGCGCCAAGCAATGAGGCCCAGCCAATGGAGCCAGGACTGAATGGCATTGTCTCGATGAGCTTCTCAGCTTCACTTATTTTGCCTGCCCGACCTAGTAGATCAATCATGCACGAGTAATGTTCTGCTTCTGGTTCAAGCCCAAACTTCTCCTTCATCATGTTGAAATATGCTTGGCCCTCGTGAACTTTCCCAGTATGTGCACATGCAGAGAGAACAGAGATGAAAGTTATACTGGAAGGAGGGATATCAATGTCCAGCATCGCTTGAAAGAGAGTAAGAGATTCCTCTCCTAATCCATGCTGAGCATAACCTGCAATCATTGAGTTAAGTGAGACAGTATTATGCTCTGGCATCCTATCAAATAACCTCCTAGCATCCCCCAGATTCCCGCATTTCGAATACATTGCAACTAGAGCATTATCAACAGAGATCCAATTTGAGGGAATCTCTGATTTGATTACCAAACCATGCATTTGTTTCCCCTGAGAAGGAGATGAGAGATTCGAGCAGGCACTGATTGCACAAACAAAGCTACAATCATCTGGTCTGTACCCAACTCTTCGCAAACTGCGGAAACAGTCTAGAGCCTCCTCTGAGAGTTCCTCGTTTTGTGAATAACCAGAAATCATATTGTTCCATAGAACCAAATCTGGCTCCTCGATCTCTTGAAATACTTTCTCGCAATCCGACATGGCACCCTTGCACTTAGAGTACAAGTCAATCAAGCCACTCCCCACATGTGAATTCTGGTGGAACCCTGTTTTTACGAGCTTAGCATGAAACTGAAGCCCGCCTACCAAATCGCTCAAGCAGGTAAATGCAGTGAGAACACTCGCCAAAGTATACATATCTACATACATGCCCTTCCTAATCATTTCTTGGAACAGCTCCAGTGCTCTTAGCCCTTCCCGGTGCTGTCCAAAAGCAACTATCATTGAATTCCAAGAAACCTCATCTCTAGCCTCTCCCATCTCATCGAACATCCTCTTTGCTTCATTCAAATAACCATTCTTACTGTAGTACGTTAGAAGCGCATTGCTCGGAGAAACGTAAGAATCAAGACCACTGGAAACCGCAAAAGAATGCAATTGTCTCATCAAAGAAACATCATCACCACAAGCCGTGACCACGGCAGATAATGTGAAGCCATCCATGTCAAGCCCCATCTCCCTCATCCCCGAAAACAAGGAGAATGCAGGTCCCATCTCGCCTCGATCGGCAAAAGCAGAAAGCATAGTGTTGTAGGAAACGAGATCTGGCAGGGGAATTCGATCGAACAGCTGGTGGGCGACCTTCATCTGGGACCCCTTGGCGTAGGCAGCGATGATGGCATTGAAGGAGAACACGTTCGGGTTCGGGGTCAGGTCGAAGGCGCGGCGAGCGGCCAAGAGGCGGCGGCATTTGGAATAGAGGAGGATGAAGTGGTTGGAGAGGTAAGTGGAGGAAGGGACGATGGACTTGATGTACAGCGCGTGGAGGGACTTGCCGGTCAAGAAGTCTCTCTCAGCAATGCAGTGCTTCAGGAGGTGGCGAAAGTTGTGGAGGTTCCATGAGATTTGGTTCATCTAACACCAACCAGCAGTGCTGATCAAGAAAGAGTATAAAACCAAACAGGGCAGATGCAAAAAAAACCCTCCTTTAATGATCCTGAGCACGTATATGGGGATCTTGATGATTACCCAAGAACCGAAGCAGCGATGTAAGCATTAATTTGATCAAAGAAGCGATGGAACTCTGCATCTGTTCACGCAATTCATGAAGAACTTTGTCAGCTGTGGAGCACGAAGAGAACCCTCTGAAGAAAGTTCGGAGCTGAGCGACTGCATTGCATTTATATAGCAGTTGGTCGTTGTTTGGGTCGAATGGACTTCCACCCGCCAAAACCTCCAAGAGGGAAAATTACAAGGCCAATAATATCCAAATGATCTACTAAGATTTCAATTTGATTTTGATTTTGATTTTATTTCTATGGGATTTAGTCATTACATGAAAAATGATCATTGATCTTTGGAAAAATAATTCAAAGGGAAATTTCTTTTTATAATTTTAGCAAGTATCGAGCAAGGTTGTTTATAAAGTCAAAAGATTCAAAGTTTAGTTAACTACACCGGAATTAAAATAGAATTATGAATCCACGCATCGTCCATGGATTGAATATGTACAAAATAACTAATTGAAGATACTCCATAGAAATGAAAATTAAGACCTTCAAAAGTAAGGAGAGGAGCAAACTCCATTGAAATGATAATCAATATACTTAAAAACATTTCAACACAATTTTCTTTTCTTGCTAATTTTTGTTCCTTGAATTTGCAGAATCTATGAATAATTCCAAATCTTCATTATTTTCATTCCATTATATTGATTATCATTTCACTGAACGGAAGTGTTTTTCTTTTAATACTTTTTAGTGATTCAATATGGGCGAAAAATATATGCATTCATGAGTTTCGCATCAATGCAACTGCTTTGCAACTTGGTCATGGATAATTGCCCGAATAATCTCTAAGTATGACAAATAATTTTTCGAGAGATAGATAAGGTTAATATATATACTTACTTACATAATGTTAATTTTTTGTTAGCTATTTCAATTTTCTTATCATAAATGTGTAGGGAAAACTTCCTATATTTTGAACATGACAAAATCTTACGTGTGAACTGATATATGTATCTGAATATGCAAACGAGATATTCTCCACGTACATAAATTCATGTGCAGATGATGTCAAGAACACATGTACGTGCCTATGGAGAGTATCCTTAATTTGCGAATGGAGAATAATAGCGGGAAGTGTGATAAAGTTGGAAGGACCTTTGGATTTTGGTGAGCAAATAGGAGATTAGGATCGTTAAAGTGTTTGGACGGGCCAAATAGAAGGTGAACAACTTGGATAATATGAGCACATCAACAACATACTTGGAAAGATTCATAAGGTGAACAGATTGGGATCAAATAAAACCGTCAAGTTTGGATGAACAATACTCCACCTACTTGGAAACGAAGACCAACTCTTAATCGATTTTATTTTTTCGGAGTTAGTTTGAAATCTTAGAATCCGATATACATTGTGGAGAAGTCAAATAGGGTTTGTCATTTTGGCTAAGCATAAGAAGTGTCAAGCGAGTTCATAGAGGCATTTTGGTCTATTTCGGGCAAGATTCATTAATTAGCTCCAAATGAACATTTTGAACTATAAACAACCTTTGCAATGGTTGCTTTGACCAATTTGAAGTCTCCAACATGTTGAGAAAGCTTGGGGGGAAATATATAGACGGTCAAAATGAGAGTTAAAGGCTGAGGAATCAAAACGCTCTCAAATTTGTTTTCGCTTCTTGTGCTAATTCTTTGAGAAAAACTATGACCAACTAAATTTTCCATATATTTAGAATATCGAATAAATTGGTACTTTAAACTTAACCAATCTGTATAATATTTTGGGGTGAGCATAAGCTCAATAAACGCCTAGAAAGCCCTGCCTAGGTGATAGGGGACTCTTGCTCTGCTGGTGCAACTGATGTCTAGTCCTCATCACCTGGCCGTAGGGGACTCGCCCAGCCACCACGGATGGAGGGTGGAGAGAGTGACCCCAACAAAAGCTATTCACCTGGGCCGTAGGGGACTCGCCCAGCCACCACGGATGGAGGGTGGAGAGAGTGACCCCAACAAAAGCTATAATTGACAGTAGAGGGAGGTCCCGAAGCTTATATTCAAGCCTAAAACGCCCTGCCTAGGCAATGTGGGACTCTTGCTCGATAACATGTAACAATCATATCACATATCATTATCAATAGGGAAACCAACACATTATATCAATTCGTTTAAAATAATGCAATGCATAATATATATATATATATATATATATATATATATATATATATATATATGGTTATAATCATGTGTACAATGCATAAAGATGGATGGCATGAGCTGACATTCAGTTAGACACTCAAATGCACATAGATGAACATATTAATCTCTTAATGCACAAATACTAACTCATCAATATACACATGTAAGTATCTGTTTATTACTCCTGATCGGAGCTCATCTTGATTGACGAGGCACCATTATCACCAACTCATGAGGATGGAATCATAAACACATATTTACTATGTATCAACTCATCCATCACAAGTGTCCTCAACATCAATGAGGATTACAACTGCATGATGATGGCAATCTTATACTCATTCTCAAAATTCATACTCATTTTTTTTTCTTTCTTTTTTTTGAAGTTGAACCTCAAGTCCATAATATCACATAACAGGCTACTCAAGCCATATAGCAAACACAAGCCATATCATTTAATGTATGTATCATAGCCCTTAAATGTCATCTCAAATCCATAAAGACTTGTCTTAAACCATGAAATATTTAGTGCAAATACCATAAAAAAAATCCCAAACTATGCCAACATAAATCCCCCAAACTTTTTTGTGTCACCAAAAACCCTAAACCCACTGCGACACAAAAAGTGACACAAATACCCCCAGCTTTTTTTCCGTATAATGAAAAAATCCAAATTTATACACGTGTGACATAATATAGGGTATGCTTGTCACACTGGTATAAGTTCGACATTATTTATAACATAAAAAAAGTTTGAGCTATTTGTGTCACAATGAGCGAATTTAGGGTTTCTAGTGACACAACTGGGTGGCGCTGCTGGAGCGCGCACTCTTCCTCTCGCAAAAGGTTGAGTGTTCGAATCCCGGGCGCCGCAAGGTGACTTAACCGGTGGCACGTGTGTGGTGGCTAGCACGTGTCGCCCCCAGGGTTTACTCCTCGGCTGTCGGCCGTGCGGGGGTTCCCTGGGTTACCAAAAAAAAAAAAAATTTGAGATATTTGTATCACAATAAGAATATTTTGAAATTTTTTTTGTGGTATCGACCTAAATATTTATTTCTATTTTTCCAGAGCGTTTATCTACCCAGTCAACTTGTCGCTTGCGCACGGCATGTGCATTCAATTTCGAGTGGGGACATCTAAAACGGACGAAAGCGATCGAGAAAGAGAATTCCTCTGGCTTCAATAGAAAAGCCCAACTATCGAAGTGGGGTCCGCTCGTATTAGGTGGGGAACTAATCTAATCACAAATTATTTAAATCCATCTCGTTTAGTGGAGCCGCGGATTTTGACCGATTCAAAAACGTCCCGGTCCACATCGACCTGACCCTCCTTCATAAACCAGCTCCCAAACAGCACCTTGAAAAATAAAATAAAATAAAATAAAATAAAAGCTTAAATAGTAGAAAAATGAAATTAATAAAGAGTTATCACATATAAAAAATACTAATTGACTTAATGGTCAAGAAACAAATGTACGGTGCACCGTTCATGCCCGCACATTTTATTTAGTTCATTATATTAGCAGAAATGTTCATGCGACCGAATTTACCTTAATATAATTAGGTCGCCCGTAGTTAGAAAGGAAAAATGACATAAATGGTTTATGAACTTTAGTTTAACGCGCGATGTGGTCTATGAACTTTTAATTTGTTCAATGTGATTTCTGAACTTTAGCCCAATGTGTAATGTGGTTGCTAAACTTTTAATTTATTCGATGTGATCTCTAAACTTTTGATACATGTTCAAACTAGTTTTCGAATTATCGTTCAATGACAACATTGAACATATTCATACAGTTCATGGACCAGTTTGAACATGTACCAAAATATCATGGATCATACCGAACAAATTAAAACTTCATGGATCATATTGCACATTGAGTTAAAGTTGAGGAATCATATTGAACAAATTGAAAGTTGAGTGACCACATCGCACGTTGAACAAGAGTTCATGAATCATAAATGCAAGTCGATCAGGGGAAAAAGACCAAAGCGACCTCGCCATTTATTTGCATTGATTCTTGGGGAAAAAGGGAAAGGAGATTTTATTTTATTTGCATCGAATCTTGGAAAAAGAGAAAAAAATTCATTGTTCTAAATTATCTCTGTTTAATAATATCTTGGCGGTAATTTTTTGTCTGTCCTCGAATATGTTCCCTTCTCTATCAACGGCAAAACAGGGTGGTCCCCCATCCGCATTTTGATTGTGATCATTCATGCTTTTCTTGGTTTTTTCTTTTCCTTCTTTTCGATTATTTTTGCCCCCCTCGAGCAGGTTTAGCAGTACTGCAGGATGCCTGGTTTACCGCACGTTAGACTTCCCTTTTTTATTTTTGAGAATTTTTTTTGGTTGCCAAACCCTTAACATTGATTTGCTGTTCTTGACGTTGATGTCTTTGACGTTCAAGGTGGTTCTTCTTGTTCTTTTTCTTAGCTCATGGAAGGAAATTAAAATCTGGGAAATTGTCCTTTTGGATGGTAACTAAAGCTTTCACATTAATGGTGGGTTGTCTCTTTGCTCTTGTTTTCTTGGTCCTGCGTATCTCTGCAGGAAGAAGCTGAGACAGTAGTACTTAAAGGGTAACTCGAAGTCTTTGAATCTGAGTCAAGATTTGTTGAGCACAGCCACATCTCACTCCAAGGGCTTCTGGGGGAGTTTTTGTCTAATTAATGCTTTATTAATGTGTTGATTTTTTTCTTTGGAGAGTCGAGTATGGTTGATTCCTTGTCCTTTTATTTGCAGGCATAGGTTCAGTGATGTTTCATGTGAATCTAGTTTAAGTAGAATAAAGGTATGATTTCTGAGCCTGTTGTTCCTTTTGGATATTGGATCTGTATCCTGGAAGTTTACAGTACTTAGTTGTTTAGATCTGTGTGATTCAATTCAGTTTATGTTTTCTTCTGGAGGTTCAGCACTGTGGGTCATGTTGAAAAAAAGTTCATCTTGAAATTGATTTAAACACACTGGACATCCAGAGAAAATGAAGTAGATGCTCTTCTTCAGTTGTAGCTTAGGATTCTTTTGTTGCTCGCCGCGCTATCTTCGCTATCCATTTCGTTAGACTCCTGATAGTCTGAAGATATCCCAATTTGGTTGCTAGAGCCTTGATTGGATGATATTATCTGCAGCACTGTAGAGAGCTTAAGGAAATTGAGTTTATTTGCGTCATATAAATGCCACGATCATGCATTTGATTCTCCTTCCAGGTTTTTTGAAACCTTCTTTCTTTGGGTGATTTCGCACTAAAGACTGTGTGATCTGGCAAGATGGTTCGAATAATCCTTGAAACAGCGATTAAGCTGTATCTAGCAATCATATAGCTCATAATTTGCAATTTGTAGTCTTGGAGTGGCTGACGAATTAGCCGATTGGAGGAAAGATCAGTAATATGCTGGAGCTGACATTGATTCAGTGGGCTTTTTTTCGTCAGCGAAAGCATGGTTAGACATTGGTGTGACTTTTCTTCCGTCACAAGTTGAGTCATACTTTCGATTACTGGATGAATAGTCTAGAAGATGTGAGATGAGAAAGATATAAGGTCATTGTAGGATTAATTCCATGGAGGAACTTGGATAGCCTTGATATGCTGCAAAATAGTTAGGAAGATGGATTTAAAGCAGTTTAATATCTTGAAGTGCTTAATCTATAACCAGCCAGTCGCCTTTCCACTATGCTTCTGTAGATCTTGGCTCACCAGAGCCCCCTTATTTCCTCTGGACACGCAATTCTTATTCCAGTGAGTGCTTATTGCTTTGTCTTTTGGTTGGGTATCATCTTCTGACCACCCAATATTCTATCTACAATGAGAGGCATGTGAAATCAGACTGTTTGGGGGCTGATCTCTTTGTGGTGCTTTGCAATTTTGCGGGAGTCTTTCTAGCTTCCATGAAGTAGAAGTACTTAGCAAACATGTTTCTCTCATCTTATCCGCAGGTTTTCAAACTGAATATGTGTCAGCTTCATGTTCTTGACCTGGTGAAACCGGATAGTGCTAGTGGAATTTCAGATTGTGCATATAGTAACCATCATTAATATACGGTTACTTCCGGAATTTGGGGCTTTTATGGTCATTCTGTTGTCTAATTTGCATCGACTAAATGATGTGTTACGTGATTGTTATGTTCCGCAATAACTTAATCGCTCCCTCTTGACCACTGGCAAGATGCTAAGCTGCTGCATCTCATGTGCATTTTGCTTGAGGCTAGAACTGTATAGGTCAGATCTGCCAGTTTCTCACAACCGGGATAGAAAAGCAGGGCAGAGGTAGAAAAATCAAGCGGATGTCAAGTAGCCAACATCAGTCCAATTTGGATTCCTAATGTGAAGTATTAGCACAAGATGGTGGGAGCGTGAATCACTAGATGATATCGCCGTCGCACATTTGTTGCCCCGGTACACCTAGCATTTCCCACGATTTGTTTCATGACTGCGAGGAGGGTCCATATCTGTCTAGATTTAGAAGACAAATTCCGGGTTTTGCGCGGTTTTAGTCGATCTTGGCAGTGGATAGATAGTGAGTTCAGGCTCGGTAAGGCACCTTCTTTATCGAACAATGGAGTGTTCAATCCGAATTCGTGTTATTACATAAACTGAATTTCTGATTCAGCATCTAGCAGGAGTCCAATGTTGGAAGGAAGATTGCAAATCTACTACATTGACAATTAATGTGATGTCGATATGCTGATCGACCCTATGTGGGTGTGTGTGTGTATATATATTGTATCTTTCTTAACGTTTTCGACTTCTTCCCAGGACATGAAATTTGCAATTTTTCGGGCCATGGTTTTGTGGAAGACCTTCGGAACGAGCGCCAGAAGCTAGAAACAGGTGCTTTCTCAATGCAGAGCTCTTCCCTGTGCTGTTTGAGTCTTTTATTTCTCCCAAACTCAGCTTGTGAAGTACGATGATGTGGATGTGCGCTTTGGGTTTCGATTCGATCCGTCCAAAGCCAACCCACCACATCATAGTACCAGCAGTAGCGTTGTGTTCGAACTTGTCCTAGTTCCAAGAAACCGCTTGTTTTTGGTTTCCCTGGACGGCGACTTCGACGGTGACGATCTCTTTGCTTTCTTTTTTAATAGGTCGTTCAGCGTCACGCCTTCGACGAAGTTTCTTCAAAAGAAAGCGACATCGAAGGGGGGATGACATGGACCCCACGCGTTTGTTGGGATGGTGGAAGAATATTATAATTTACGTCGTTGACAGCACAAAACACCTCACCCGACACCGAAGAGAGAGATTAAGCTAAGTCCCCCCGGCGCATCATGGTCAAGCCCTACTATAATTCATTCTTTAGATCCATGTTCTGGGACTCACACCTTTAAGCAACCTGTTCAATACATTCTCTCATCTGCTGTTCGTGGGACACTGCCGAATTCATTTATCTATGTCACTTCTGTCGAACCAAGATGATGGTACTGGGCATCGCCGACTAGGATCGAGAAGTGGGGTTTCGAGTTTTGAATTAGAGGGGCTTCAAGGGGTAAAGAGGAGAGAGCAGGTCGTGCAAAAGCTTGAAAAGCTGCAGAAGGGTAGAAAAGATTGATATAACAGGCGGCTTCTCTTATCACACATACACATAAATATGGATGGACAAGGGAAATCTGAAGAATAGCTCTTAAGCCCACATGGGTTGAACTTGAAGCACTAGAACAAGCAAGCAAGCAAGCAAATTTTTCCCTTTTTCTGCATTTCTGCTTCTCTCTTCTCCCTCTCACTCTGTACATGTTTTTCATTCTTGCTATGCATCTTGACCACAGTGAAACCCATGTGGCGGATTTTACTTGGGGGTATGGTACAAAAAAATTTTCGGCCATCTACTTTGATCATATCATTCATTTCGAAGATTTCGGTACAGCTACACTAAAAGAACACCTACTCCTATCTCTCTCAAATTTGCATTACCCTATCCTAACAGTCGTCCCTACAATATTCTGGTTCTTCCTTTGCTCTGGCAAGTATTATCTCTGGTCCAGCCACTTCAGAGCAAATCCCCACCGTTGCCTTGCAGCAATTCCCCCCTTATCCAGTCCTTGCCCACTCCTTGGAGTTGCAAGCAACATCACAATCGCAATAAACAAAAGGCACAAACATACCTCAACCTTCAAACCCTCTTCTTTACCTCTCACTCAACTCCAACACAACCCCCCCACCAAGATTGCTTCCTTCGACGAGCCAAGGGACTTAGACCGACCCATTATCTCAAGGGTCCCAAATCTTCAACCGAAACAAGAAACTCCTCCCCTCCTCAAGTTCCGTGGGCTCCTTTTGAACCAACAAAGGGCGATTGAACACTGTCCGCCTCGGAATCGCTCCCAGAAGAACTTCTAGAGTCTGACCCTGCAAGATAGAGAGCTCGTCTCAGCCAAAATGGAACGTATTGAACGCTGAAAAGACAAGGGGCAAAAGACCAAATTTTTACCACTAGATGAAGATGAATCACTGCTTGAGCTTGAACTGCTAGAGGTATTAGATCTCGCATCCCGCTCAATCTCCACAGGAGGATAATTACTCATGGGTATCTCGTCCCCAATGTCCACATCCTCCTCTCCACCAGCTTCTCCCCTCCTTCCCTTATGCGGCACAACAGCTTCAGTTACTTCCCTCTCCGGCGACTACATGATTCAAGTACAAAACACCATCAGACCATCGGCCAACCGAACTGAGTAAAAGGAATTGCAAACTCAGAACAGGAAACATCAGCACATTACCTTGTTGGTGATCTCTGAAGCAACAACCTGGTTGTGAATGAGCCCCTGGCGCTTGATCTTGCTCGCTAGCTTCTTGTAATTGCAAACGAACCGATCAAGCTCCCAAAGAGTCTCGGTATCCACGGCCTCGATGTCGAGCTCAATCTCATCTCCATCCTGTGCAAAATGCTTGTTCCTCTTCCTTATGATGGCCAATAACTGACCCATTTTCTCAGGGGGCAAGTTCTGCAAGTTCATCCCCAACTTCGCCTTCTCCTCAAAGCTCATGTCCCTCTTATTCGGATCCTTTGCCTTCGGCTTCGGCAACTTCCCAGACTTCGCTCGCTTCATACCAGGCACAGCCACTGGCGCCGGCTGTGCAACTTGCGGAGAAGTCACCAATGGCTCTTGATTCGACAATGCGGATGGTGGGTTGAATTTTGGGCTGGGGTTTCTCTTCTTTTCCACCAGCATTACTTCTGGATCCCTCCTCGTGGTGCTTTCCGGAACCAATTCCTCATCCCAAACCCTGGGTTTGGGCTCCTCCGCTGCTGCGGCAGCAGACGCCTTCTGCCGCTCCTTTTCGTATTTCCTCAAGGCAGGATCGAACATTTGGTCGAACTGCACGAGCAACGTCTCCGCCATGTGATGCACATCGTGCCCTTTAGGGTTATACGTCAATGCGTTGTTGAAGGTCAGCCTTACGTCGGTCGCGAACTCCTGTGGCGATTGGTAGAAATTCCTCTCGAGATTCGTCTTCACGGTGCCGAGATCCATGGGGTTCTTGATTATCTGGTGGTAATCGTGAAGCCCTAAGTCCACGGCGTCAACAGGGACGTTGAATACCCACCCGTGCTTGTGCTTCATGATCTTCGTCAAGATCAGGCCGCACCGCTTCATCATGCTCGCGACGAACTTATCTGGGCCGGCAGCAACCAAATCCTTCACGGGTCTCTTCGGATCCTTGTCCGACCCGAAAGGGGTTCCACGCTTAATGCCCGAATTCTTCTTCCCCGCGTGCGCCTTCGCCGCAATCCCCTTGTCTTTCAGCCTCGGGGACTCCGTCGCAGCCTCCGGCGAGGGCCGGGTGGCCGAGAACTGCGACGTCTGGTACACGGGCCGGGCCTCGAAGGCAGCCGCGGTCTCTATGCGGGTCCGGAGGACACGGACCTGCTCGAGCTCCGTCACGAGGCGCCTCTTGAGCTCCTTGAGCTGCGGTCTCGAGAAACCCCCGAGATTGAAGGTGACGTACTCGGAGGCGGCGTCGAACCTCGACCTCGGGGCGAACGAGGCCGCGTCATTGTCGACGGCGGCCGCGGCGGCGAAGTCCTCGTCCTTGCGGAAGCGCAAATTGGCGGGATCGTGGACGTGCCTAGGGTTCGGGTTCGGGTTAGGGTTAGGGTTCGAATTGGGGTTGAAGAGGGGATTATCGGCGGCAGCGGCGGTGTATTTCCTCATATACACCTTCCGGTCACCCCACGACGGCTCGATTCGACTGACCAGGAGGGCTGATGCCATAAGAAAGGGTCCCGTTCGGCGCCGGGTCAGATCCGTCGGATCCGAGGCGAGCCGCCGGCGATCAGCAGCGCGACGCCGGAGACCGTCCGTCGGAGCCCGGCGAGGCGGCGGCGGCGGCGGAGAGCATCGGAGGATCGGGATCGCCGGGAGCGAGCGAGGGGGAGGGGGAAAAGGGGGGTAGGGATGGGGACGAGGGTTTTTTTATCGAGCTTGAACGAGGAAGAAGATGAGGGCACCACCCCTTCTTAAAGGCGCTCCAGATCTGCCCGCGAAGGATCTCGACCGTCGATCGTTTCGCCGACGGCCCGGATCCCTCCCCCTGGCTGCCCGATCTCCGTGGCGCTGCCCCGGAGCGACGGACGGCCCAGATCCGAGGTCACCGACACGTGGGCGACCCTCGGCCGCCCGTCCGGAACCCCGGGGGGGGGGGGGGGCGTCGCGATTTCCCCATTTTGCCCCTCTCCCGGTGGCAAAGTTTTAAAAAATTTCGGGGAATTTTCTTTTGGGAGGGCGAGGCAAGTTCGATAATCGGATCAATCAGGGAGGTGCAGATGTTTTCGCTGGGCGGTGGGGCCCCCCTCCCCCGGGGCCATGACGTGGCGGTGGGGCCCGCGCCGGGGGTGGGGAACGGGGAAAATATCTTTCGACTTCTTTTCCTTTTCTTTTCTTCTTTTTTTTCTTTTCTTCTTTTTTTTTTTTTGGGGAGCGGAACCTTCTCGGGGCAAGAATCCGGGGGGCTGGGGGGGGGGGGGGGGGGAGGGGAGGGGGGATCCTCCTGCCAGGTCAGCATTTCGCGAGCCGGTTTCCACGCACCTCGCCCCGCCTGCCACGTCGGCGAATCGGGTGCTGCGCCGGCGGCGCACGGGGGCTTACGCTGCGCCGGCGCGTGCGGTCCACGTCGGATCGGCGGCGAGTGGTAGGTGGTGAGCCGGATGTGGGAAAAACCGTTGGACTTTTCGGGTAAACGGCGTTTTGTTTTTCGTCGCGACTTTTTTTTTTTATTTTTTTTTTTATTTTTATCTGAGTTGATGTCTTTTTGTAAAAGCCTTTGTGTACCGCGAATGTGCAAATGCGACGATTAGAGCAAGGAAGCCAAAACACGCCTAAGCACTTGACAGATCCGATCTTTTGGGACGAGAATGTGTTTATAACTACATGCTACACTTTGTTGTTTTCCAGGTTTTGTTCGGTTTTGCAGCTCTTTGGGATTTGCTTTGCTCGGAAGCTTTCTATGTCTTTCTCATGTTTGATCTTGACAAATGAATGAAATTTTCTTTCAATTAAATTTTTTTTAAAAAGCCTATTCGTTTACGATTAGTAAAAGTATAAGGTGTTTTTTTTTTTTTGGCCAAACTTTGATATGTGGATCTGCAGGTGAAATTTGGATGTGGGGAAGTTTCGGGTATTCCGGACTTAAAAACATTCAAGTTGCAAGAGCAAAAGATTCACATTAAGTAAAAAGTAAAGGATTGACCTTAATTTGTTTCGTAAATTATTTTGTTTTTTTTGTTTCATAAGAATAATTATTTATTTTTTGACACGTGTTGACAAGTACCCCCAATGCACGTACTTCATGAGAAAATTTTTGATTTCCAGAGTATTGATAGCACTTGTACTTTTTTTTAAATTTAAATAAGTATTTCGATGATACTTTTCAAGAAGATCCTTCACATCGACGACAAACTTACATAGGCCTCACTTGTGTGGTACCGACCAAATTCTCATCGGCTCCACATGTTAGATCGAACTTGGAATTGCGACATATAACTACGTAAGTACTTTTCCTAATTAATAAATCTATGATAAAATTTCCAATTTAAGTTTTACTTTTATAACATGATATCTATATCTATCAATCTATACATTAAATTCAAAACCACCTTTTGTCTCTCTTGACTTTTCCACCATTCACTTATTTCTTTAATATCGTAATGCATTTTAGTTTTGAAGAAGGAAAACGTAAAATTGGCAGAATAAAAAAGGATAGAATGGTTAAAACAACAAGTGGAACTACCCACTTTTCACTAAAAATTGCACTGGATGAAAATTCTTATAGAACAATGACACAAACAATCCCTGAACTTTAACTCAATGTACAATATGTTTCTTGAACTTTTAATTTGTCGAATGTAGTCCATGAACTTTAGCCTAATGTTCAATGTAGTTTCTAAACTTTTCATCTGTTCAATGTGGTTCCTAGACTTTTTGGTACATATTCAATGTAATCCTTGGACTATATGAAGATATTCAATGTAGTCTCTGAACTTGAATTAATGAAAAGACTATATTGAACATTTTTATATAGTTTATGGACTATTTGTATCATTTTCCTAATCCTTAATTGTTCTTACAGTACAACAATCAATTTCATCTTCTCTAAAAGAAATTCTTGATTTTTTAGTAAATGATTTTTTAAGCTATTGAAAGTATAGCGGAATTTTCATTTACCGTTTGCTTTCTAAAATAAACTTCACACAATAAAAGAGAGCAATGTAAAGTATTTTATATCCCCACGAATTAAAGTAATTAGTTTTTTCGTTAATTTATCATGACATTGTATAAAGAAATGAAATAATCGTCAACGCTGGTAATGTTTGCATGAAAATTAGTTCAAAATTGAAATGTCTGTTCCTCTCATTCGGTAGGTTTTTTATTATGTCGAATGAAATTCCAATTGAAGTGCTTATTTCTCTAGTCGACGGAACTATAATTCCTACCTGTATAAGGTACAACCATGATTACTAACATTTTCCACCCAAATTTTTTATTTATTAAAATCCAATTACTGATTATTGTGAGGTATAATTGAATAACATTGCTTATTACGTAATCTAGTTTGAATAATCCAACATTAGTCATCATGACTAATTATTATATATAACTGAAATGTTCATAATTATATAAATCAGTAAAAATAATAGTTAAATAAATTGATTACGAGATATGATAGATTAAGTATGAATAATAATTACTGTTTTTATATGGATAACTATGATAAAGTTAATTACTCCTATGTTAAATTATGGATATCTTTTCTCATTTCTTGACAGAAACATAGCAACAAAATGTATCAAATAATTAATGCTTTACATTATGATTTGTTTCTGTAATGTGATTTTTAGCACAATGAGTTTGTTATTTTGCAATTCAATTATAATTACACTGTGAATTCTTTATGAATCCTATTTCCAATTCGTTACCATAATGCTTTTCTTTCAATTAAAAAAAAATAATACCCATTTCATTCCAATTCCACAATTTACCAAATAAAGAGTAGGAATGCTCATTCCATTCTTTCTTCATCCCGCTCTCTTATCCCATTTTATTTCTTCATTCCAGACGCGATATAAACGTTTTCACTCGTGAGCAACAAAGCGAGGACGGTCGTAACTCCGTATTTACACTTTATGCATTGTTGCATCATATTATTGGGAGACAAGATCTAATAATATTAAACTGAAATTGGCTTTTACGTGGAATTTGATGTGGATGTTCATCAACAAAAAGTCTCTTTCCCTTCCTAGAGAAGCTTACCCATGCAACGCATGATTCTTTTCGTATTCACAAAAGAGTTTCAAGTCCTTTCAACAAAAGCAAAAGTTTAGAGAAGATCCTTTATATATCAATCTACAGGTAAACATTTAGTATTCCTCTATCCGGAGTATAATGGATAATGCCTAATAGTCACGAGGTAGAGCATTTTCTAAAATATCTAAATCTACCATCTTTCCAATACGTACATATACACAGTAATACTCGTTATACTTTCGTTGTACCAGCTTAACGTATTATATAAGAAATGATTCTTTTTGAAAAAGAAAAATCTTTATCAACGAATTGTACTTTTAGTAATTGATTTCTTCAAGATGGATTAAAGATTTCAGTTTTTTTTTTGTCTTATCCTATTTCCTCCTTAGAAGCCAATCCAATCCAATCAGCCACATTCCATGACTCTTTGTTTATTCGCTGTCTTCAGATTTATACAACATACACCTGCAGGCATCGTAATTGCTTGTATTACTCATCATACAGTACCGATATTTATACAAGGTGTTGCTTAACAGAAAAGAAAAGGAAAATCTACTAAAATATCTCTAGCTAATTATAAGAGATATTCCCAACATTATGCTAACTAACAAACAAACAAAATCCTAAGTATTGATAAGAGATACACAAAATATTAACAAAATAGAAAGAAAATCTTCAGTAAATCTTCCATTATACTCACCCACAAGTTGGCACATGGAGGTCTTAAAAACCCAACTTGCTAATGAGAAATTAAACCGATCTCGACCCAATGTTTTGGTAAAAATGTCTGCCAGTTGAAGTCTTAGTGGATACGTGCTCGATTCCAAGGGCCCCGAACTATACATGTTTCCAAGCAAAGAGGCAGTCAATTTCAATGTGCTTTTGTTCATGAAATATTGATTTTGCCGCGATGTATAAAGTAGCTTGGTAGTCATAATAAAGACCCATCGGTTTGTTGTGCAATACCCCAAGAGAAACAAGTATGTAATTAAATCAATGGTAATAGTTGCCATAGTGCGATATTCAGCTTTAGTAGAGGACCAAGAAATTGTGGTCTACTTCTTATTTCTCTTAAAGACTGGACAACTACCAAGCATGATAAAGTAATCGGTAACTTATCCAGCAACTCGCCCAATCGGAGTCGCAAAAGGCAATCAAGCGGAGTGAAGTCGGGACTGATAACAGAATTCCTTGTCTGGGGTTTTTCTTAAGATTATCGAAGAACTCGTATAACAAGTTTCCATTGTTGCTCCTTCAATTCCCGCATCAACTGGGAAAGTATGTGGATGGAATAACATAATTTAGGCCGAGTATAGTGAGATAAAGTAGACGTTTCACTAATCGATGATAACGACTTGGGTTTTCATGACAAGTTCGGTTGCTATAGCTAGCCGGTGTTGTTGCTCCATCAAAGAAGTCGCTAGTTTAGCTGCTATCATGCCACTTTACAATAGGATGTCAAGTACTTACTTTCTCTAGCATAGAAATAACCCTGAAATTGTCCGTATCGCTTCAATCCCCCAAACAGTACTTTAATTTGCCAAGGTCTTTGATATGAAAACACTCGTCAAGTTACCATTTAAGCAATGTGCGCTATTTTGAATTATTTCCTTCCAATATGAGATCATTAACATAACACGGCTAGAAAAG